TCGGCGGCCTGAGGGAGAAAGAAACGTAGGGTGGGGAGAAAGCTCGCCTCAGCGGCTCTGCCACGAAGTGCCTCTTTCCGGCCCGGCGCGCCTTGCCTCACCGCCCGTTATATTTGCACTTTGTGAAGGAAACCTAAGGGAATCCTTAAAATACCCCTCCAAAAAATAATAATAATGATAAAATTAAATAAATCATGCGCTTTGGTGCCTTGGCTTGCTTGCCCCTTGGCCGAAGACCACGCCCGGAGCAGCGTCTGAGAGGGAGATTCCTGCCCAATTAAGTGCGCCTGACCCTCCATGCAAAAGCAAAAAAGCTCCTTTTTTTATTCTTGCAAGCTCCTTTTGTTGTTGTCGTTGTTAAAATTTGCAAGCTCCCTTTTATTTATTTTTGCAAGCTTTAGGGTTTGTGTGTGTGTGTGTGTGTGTGTGTGTGTGTGTGTGTGTGTTTTGCAAACCGGGAACCTTTGCATCACTTTCTCCCCATTGCAATTATTCCGATTTTTTATTTTTTAATTTAATTTTTCCCTCGGTCCACCCCTTTCCTTGATTCTTGCACACTCCCGCCACCTTTGGAAAGCAGCAAAAGCAAAAGAAAGCCCTTTGACTGGAACCTCGGCGGCTTTTTCTCCCTCTCTCGTATCTTTTGCTCTCTTCTCCTCTCCCGGTTGTTTCGGGTGGCAACTGCCTTCGCCTCCGCCTGGTACCTTTCATCACACACCCTCCTCCTGCCACTGACAGCTCCGCTGCCACTGCCACCACCACCGAGCCATGGCCCCAGCGCCCCTCCAGCACCCCGGACAAGCGCAGGGTTGCTTTTGGGGGCTCCCGTGAGGGGTCTGGATTGGGATCTGAGCCTCTTCATTCCACCCCACTCCAGCTTTCGGCTCACACGCCTCTCTCTCATTTTCGCTCCCTTTCCCCTCTGCCCGGAGCTGTGCCTCGGACGGACCCCATGAGGACCCCCCCACCCCACCCTTCATGCAAGGGGCACCACTTGGTGAACAAGAGAGAACGAGCTAGCGAGGAGGAGGAGGAGAGGCAGGCACGAAGCAGAGCGCGGGAGCAGGAGCTGCCGGAGGAGATGGGTGAGTGCTGCACACGATCCTGAGCCCCCTGGTTGACTAATTTTTATGATTTTATTATTTAAAAACAGTTAAAAAAACAAAAACCAATATATCCTCATGTTATATTGCATAAAAAAATTTGGCCGGAAAATTTGGCCGTGAGAGAAAATTATTTGGCTGAATTTGGCCGTATTTTGACTTGAGTTTGGCCGCAGAGCCAAGCTGCGATCTGGCAACCCTGTTGCAGTCCAGTGCCAGGTGGAGCTCTGTTGCACAGCAGAGGGAGGACTGCTCATAATTCTCCCTTCCCCAATAAATGATTTTCCAAGGAAGAAGGGAAAAGCCTACCAAGCAACTCTCTTCTATGGGCAGCGACTTCTTCCTGTCTGGGCAGGTTCAGAGCTCAAGAAAATAAACTATGGTGTGGCATGTAAGAAAAGGAGAACTGGGCTTTGAATTTGCCAAAATAATATAGGCCTCAGAATGATAGCAGGCCTGAAATAAAATGTTATATTAAAGTGTCAGCTAGAATGATTTCCTAAGAACAATGAAATATTTGTAATCTACTGTGCTAGCACAATATTTTAATACGTATCTGGAAACTAATTAGTTTCAGAAGCTATTTTGGACCAGGAATACTGAAAACAGTGAGAAATAAGGAACTGAAAGTAGCCGATGGATAGGGCTTTGAGATGTACACAGGCATATGTCTGTAAGTAAGAACAAGGAAGTAAGTTGTGAAATGCAAGCAGAAAGTATAAAAAGAATGTCTCGGGATGTGTTTGTGGCCACTGGCCATAGCTATTCCTTGCTAGACCTAGCTATTGTCTCTGGACCTCATTGCAATGGGTTGTTATAAGTTGTGTTATGCTGGCTATTCATGTTTCAAATTGCTAATGACATAAACCTCAGAATCTTAAAGTCAGAATTATTGTTTGTCCTTCGTCTGTGTTCCTCTTTATTGGGGTATTTTTACAACAGTCCCACTTTGACTGCAAGCAGTTTCATACAGGCCCACTTTGCTCCTCATTACCTACCTCAGAAACAAAGGGATAGAGGGGAGGGGGAATATTTACTGGATCCCAGATCCCAGATCCAACCTGGGATAAAAGTGTAGCAGACTCCAAGCCTCTTGAAACCTCAGGGGGCCACCCCATCCTCTGCATCCTGCTGAACCATGGACCTCTCCACACATGCTGACTTAAAGCCCTCATGGTCCACAGCCAGGATGGGCATTGCAACCTAGCAGGCCTGGAAGAGACCAGTCTGGGTTAAGCCACTCTATCCTTTTAGAAGCCTCAGGAAAATGTTCTCCTTCTGTGAATTAAGAAATGCTTCTTTGTCAAGCGATAAAAATGGTGTTGAGCATCATTTGTCAAGGTCGCTTTAGGAATACTCCATAAACCATGCTTTTAAGCATCTTATGTATGCAGGGTATGTGAACCAGGTGTACCCTGCCTGCTGCAAAAACCCAGTGAGGGGATTCCCTATTGCTTTCCCTTTTTAGCCAGGATTTTTTTTTCAGTCTTGGTTCTATCTTCCACCTTCCTTTTATTATTATGGGCAAGGAAAAATCCCTGGAAAAACTTGATCCTGCTTTCCTGATCCCAGACCAGAGATCTCTTGCTCTGCCTCAAATGGAGATGACAATTTTTGGAGTCGGATTAACAGCTGGCTAGACCCAGGTGTGCAGACAACCTCCTTCTAGATACAACCATAAAATGTTAACCTCCTGCTGGATCCAGTAGCTCTCATGGCAGGTGCCTTTGCACATCAGAGGGACAAGCGATCTGGCATCCAGCAAGGCAGGTTTAACATATCTTTTTGAAACCCCTCAGCAGGAATTGTGTTTGACAATTTCACCTAACAGTGAGCCCAGATAAATACCAGGAAAGGGGAGGTGGATCAAACGTGGCCAAGCCACAAGCATCTTGTTGTGGTCCATCAGCGAAGCTGGAAGCAGATTCGGACAGTGAGGAGGTTGGGGAGGAACATAGGCCAGTCCTGGAATCTGGGGAAGGGTCTGATGAGTACTCTGTGTTAGAGGCAGAGATGGGGCCAGGGCCATCTGACAGTAATCAGCTGCCTTTGGAATCAGACATCAGTGAGGAAGAAGGAGAGCTGGAGCCTGTTCCCAGTGTGTGCATGGGCAGAGCTGTCAGAAGAAGGGAACAGCTAAGGAACAAGGGTCGGCTTGGGAGTAAAGCCACAGGTGGACAGTGAATGTACCCTCCCATAGGGAATAAAAGAAGAGCGAAAGGGAGGGTTTTTTTTGCAGGGGACAATTAGTTCATTTGAAGATCTGTTCCTGCATTCTTGCCTATATTGTCTGCTCCAGTGTGGCCTCTGAAAGATATCAGCCTGGCACTTCTCCAAGTCTGATAAAAGTCTGTAATTGCGAAATATCCTGAAAGACTGTTGGCCGGGACTTTTCTGGAGAGGAATTCACTATAAACTAAATAAAAGGGGCTTATCGGGATGAGGAGTTGGCTTCATGCTGTTGGGGAAGCCTAGGTCAGAACACATCCACTGCACTAGCCAAGGGCTGTTTATTGCAAGCAGGAAATCTGTGGACATGCAAAGGCAGCCTACATTTTCTAGAACATAGTGCAGATCTTAGAAAAGAAGGGAGGATCTGCCCTCCGGCTCTACATCTAATAAGCACAAGAGAGGAAAATGAAATCCTCTCTCCATGTTTTGCAGCAGGCAGGGCAGACCTGGTTCACACAGCCTGCATACTTAAGGTGTTTAGAAGTGTGGTTTATGAAATAGTCCTAAAGCTTCCTTGAGAAATGATGCTCAACAGCTGGGTGAAAGATCCCATTGCCCTCCATTTGGTGGGGGGCACCAGGAAGGCACACCTGGGGGAGAGGAGTGGCCTGATTTCCAGATATAGCAACCAACATGTCTCCCGTCTCCCGGCCACACAGTTTTTTCAAAAAGCCAGGCTCAAGGCCTACCCCATCCAGCATGCTCTGTGTGTGCTGCCTGCATCCAATGAGAAGGCAGAGGCCCACTCCCTAGCATGTGGATTGGCCACCAGGTTGCGCAGCTAATAGTCCTGCAGGGCAAATTGTCAGTGGTGATTTGTCTCGTAGGCAATCTCCAAAGGCAACATGGAAGTTGAGGAGCAATGGGGAAGGAGTGGCGAGGCAGGAGAGATGGAGGAGGGGCAGCCAAAGATGAACACCCAAGTTGGAGGGTCAGGTTGGGACAGGAGGGCTGGGGTGAAGCAAGCATGGCCAGGTGACTGTGGCCAATTGTCCATTCTGGCCAGCTCCAAAAGCCAGTCTTTGGCCATTGCTTCCCATCTCATTTGTAAACAAACACATCCTCACCTATACATGCACAAATATCATAAAAAAATATAGAAGAAGAAATAGAATGCTGGTCAAATTTATTTAAAGGAACCATTGCAAAACTTTAAAAAGTCAGTCTAAATCAAGATCATTCACTCAGCCGTGCCGGAAACAAAAACAATGTCTCCTAGGTTTTCTTGAAAACAGCATTTCAACAAAATCTACAAAAAAGAAAAGAAAAAGATTATCAGGAATGGTTATGACTACATTAAGCATTCCCTACCTATTTCATAAGTTAGATATTATCCCTTGAGTGGCAGAGTATCAAATATGCTACAGGGTATCAGTTATGTTCTTTGGCTCTTCGCAGCCTTTCTCAACTTACACTTACACCCCATTCCCCATGTCCCTTGTATTGGAGAAAGAAGATCTAGGCCATCACTCTTTTTTCTCTGTTTCTCCTCTTTGATACAGAACGTCAAGGGATTGCTTGAGGAAACAGCTTCCCTGTCCATCAGGAAGTCTAAAAATATCATCTGTCATGGAATGGTAGTGTGAATAGCCTACAGGCATATTCCCTGATGTGAAATGTCTCAACAGGACTTACCAATCAACAAAAGAGGATTTTGCCTCCACTCTACACAGGCTCCACAGGAGGAAACATGCCTTGTGGGTGGTACTCAGGATTCATGGGGTCCATGGGGCTTTCATGACTCATGGATTGTGGGATGTTCTCAGAACTTATGGCTTGTGGGATGCTGTCATGACTTATGGGTTGAGGAATGCTCTCAGGACTTAAGAGTTGTGGAATGCTGTCAGGACTTATGGGTTGTGGAATGCTCTCAGGGCTTATGGGTTGTGGGATGCTCTCAGGACACATGGGCCATGCAAAGTTTTCAGGACTTATGAGACCAGGATTACCCTCAGGATACATGGATACAGGACTCATAGACCCCTCAGGCCCTGGTGGCCCTGGAGGCCCAGCGGGGCTGGCATCCCCTGGAGCTCCTGGGGGTCCAGGAGGCCCAGCAGGAATATAACTTGCTAGTTCTATTAAAACATTTATTAGAGGGTCAACTATCTCATTTGTAAAGTAACTTAAAGATTGGTTTTGAGGTGGATCATTCAGAATTGGGTTGTTTGGATGTGATGGATTAAATGGGATTGGCAGTTGTTCACTGTTTTCAATTTCTATAGGGTGGGCCTGGAAGAGAAGGAGAAAAATGAAGAAAAAATAAGATTAAAATGATTTTTTAAAATTGAGATTGTAAATTGTAGATATAATAATTTTACAATATTTCACTTGGGGTGGTAACCGTTTTTTATGAAATCATTCCATCACCAGTACTATTTACAGAACTGATTCCCAAAGTCAAATCCAGCCAGCTATCAGCAAAGACAGCCATCACAAGAGCACTAAGCAAGCATTTTCATTGCCTTTATCCATGTATCTGGAAGTCCATATGAATAATTGGTTCCCCAGTTTTAAGTTGGTTTAGTAGGTCATGGGATTGTAGAAGCTAAACTTCCCCAGCAGGCTGTTGCCTTCCAAGTCTTAAGTCACATTGACACAACTCCACCTTTGGAAATCTTTTAACAGGAAATACTTATTTTGAAACCTCTACTGTATGTGACTGTTTCTCAGTCTTGGCAACCATATGTGGTGTGGACTTCAATTCCCAAAATTCCCCAGCCAGCCAAACTATACACATCAATATTGTCAAGATTGAGAAACACTGCTCCATGGCAACAAGGAGGAAGATCGGTTTCAAATCTCTGTAGATGATGAACCTCCTAAATGAATTGAACATTCTTTCTCTCCCCCTTTCTGTCTCTGATTCCTCCATCCCCCAACCTCTATTTGCAACGTGGAATAATAATGCTTACTTCCCTCACTGAACCTTCAGACGTGAATCTTGAGAAAATGAATATTTTGCCTAACCAGTGGTGGGATCCAATTTTTGTTTGCTACCAGTTCTGTTGATATGGCTTGGTGGGCGTGGCAGGTGAAGGATACTGTAAAATCTCCAGTCAGCGGCGGTATTTGCCGGTTCTCTGAACTACTCAAAATTTCCACTACTGGTTCCCCAGAACTGGTCAGAATCTGATGAATACCACCTCTGTGCCCAACCAATTCCATAAACACCACATGGCCCTCTGACTATCCAAAATTTTGCAGTTATATTTTCTCAAGCAATAAATGAATCGTATATATTTCTGACATGCAGTCACAATCCGTAATATGGGTACAGTACCTCAAAAGGGGCAATGAGGGCCAAAAGGCAGGCAAGAAGAATCACAATCTTCATTTTGTTGAATGAACTTGTAAGAAGAATTAGTTATTAGTTATTAACAGTTAACTGAATGCCAAGTCAATTCATGCTGCTGAAGAAAAAAATGTTGGTCTCCAAATGACTATTAGAACTCTCTCCTACCATGAGATGGATAGCTAGAGTTTTGATTCCCAACTCTCATGGCTCTACCCAATTGTGTTTAAGAAACTGATATAATCATGTGTTGATTTCTAATGAATATCAATGATAAAAAAATCTTTAGTGTTCTCTGGAAATCATGCTAATTATTTTAAAGTAAATGTAAACATTGGATTGTAAAAAATGTAAACAACTGAATTTCTAACAGAGAAAGAAGAGCATGGGTGGTTCAATGACTGATTCCTTAAAGCTTTACCTGACTATGAGCATTGGAAATAGAACAGAAAAAATATTACTATTTTTTATAAATACATTAACGTTCCTCTTTATCATCATGGTAAAAGGAAGAGTTAAAATATAAACAGAAAATTAAATAAACACTTCTCTCCTATGGCCCTAGGATAATATGTCTGACCTTCTGAACTTGGAATGCAAATGTGAAAAACTATAACCTTCCCATGTATGAAGCATTTGCTATCTAGATGATGAATCTGATTTTTAACTTACTCTGGCAAAGCAGGGGAAGAAAAGAAGAAAATAAAATAAGAACGGGTAAAGAGCCTGTTTTTAAAACATGGTTGACTATTTGAACTCTTTAAAATGAATATTATGTTTCATATACAAGTTAACCAAAACATTACAAGAAGCAGCGCAATATAAAAAAACTGCAAAGTAGCTATGAGTAAATTGCTTTCACCAAAAAGTTAAGCAAGTATTGCTATTTCTATATTCCTCACTCACTTCAAAGTATCTCACAGAGATCAAAACTCACAAGATGATATTTATGCAGTCTTCAAGATCAGTAATTCTGTCTGCCAAATAATAACTGCAAAAGCATTAAAATAAATATATTCTGACTTACCTTTTTCTTTGCAGTGCAGTTTTGGTTCTGCTCTGTCTGAGATGATCTGAGGTGAAGAGGCAATGTTTATATATTCTCTGAAACTTCCTGGGATTAGGTAGATCATCTTACCACACATCTACTGTGGTTAGAAGACCTGTGCTCTGATCGCTTCCAAATATGCATGTAATAATCTTCAAAATTGCTCTGTTTTGAAATCTTTTGTGGTTTCCAGAAGATGGTCTTGTCATGGCAAAATAGGGCAAGGCGCTTTAGAAATTTCTCCTTAGGAGTTGATACAAGGAAAACAAATGGAGTGGCATTTACTGTAAACAAGAAACTTGCTAGATCAGTGGATATCTTGTCAACTATCAATGATCAAATTATGACTATCAGAATTCCTGCCAAGCCCTTCAACATCACAATTGTCCAAGTCTATGCCCCAGTGACTGCTGTAACAGAGCTTTTATGCCATGGTCCAAGAAACTCTGAAACAAGTGCCCCAAGATACATTGTTTATATTTTGGGCAACTTTAATGCAAAAGTTGGCAAGCAAGTGGAGACCAGGCATCACTAGTCATTTTGGACTAGGTGAGATGAAAAATGCAGGGATTGTTTGGTACAATTTTGCCAAGAAAACTGATTTAGATCATGAATACATGATCACAAATGCCGCTTATACACTTGGAGCCCACCAAACAGATTTCACTGTAATCAGATTGTCTATGTCCTATGCAGCCACTGAGGGACTAATTCAGTCCTTGCTATTAAGACATATCCAGGTGCTGATTGTGGCTCAGATCATAAACTGTTGTTAGCAAAGATTGAAGTCAAACTATGCACTATCAAAAAGGCAGTGCCTCCAAAGAAATTTGATTCCACCAACATCCTTACTACATATATACAATTGAGGTGAACAATAGCTTTGAACTGCTAGACACTGCTGAGAAGATGCCTGATGAACTGTGGCAGGAGATTCAATCGACTATTATTGGAATTGCAGAAGAAAACATACAATACAACAAGCCAGAGAAAAAGTGCAAATGGCTCTCAGATGAAGCCATCAAAAAAGAAAAGCAACAAAGGGAGCAGGCAAATGAGAAGAAGCAAGAAGACTGAATGCAACTTTCCAGAGGAAAAGTAAGAAAGAATAATGAAGTTTGCTAGGATGAGCGATGTAAATTACTTGAAGAGGACTACATGAAGGGCCACAACAGGAATGCATTTAAAATTTAAAATTAAAATTTGACATAATCTGCTTACAAGAGGTACATATTTAAAAACAACAAGAATATATACTAAAACAAGGAAAACTAGGGAAATTATTTACGTCACTGGCACAATCCAAAAAAAAAGAGGTGTGGTATTATATATTAAAGAAACAATTTTGGCAGAACTAATCTACACAGATGATGATGGAAGGATTCTGATGGTGGAAATAATGGATAACAGCTTTAAAACACTTCTAATTGCAATTTATGCCCCAAATGATAAACATGAAGAATGTTGGGTGTTGGGAAAGCACCAGGTCCAGATGGTTTTCCAGCGGAATTTTACAAGACTTTTCAGGGAATATTGAATCTTCATCTGTTAGAAGTTATGAATGAAGTTATGTTGAAAAAAAGAATACCAAAAACATGGTCAGAAACATACATTACACTTATACACATTTATAGACCTATATCTCTATTGAACTCAGACTATAAAATATTTGCTTCAATTTTGGCAGAAAGACTAAAAAGATACTTAAATAATTTTATTCATACTGATCAAAACGGATTTCTGCCAAAGAGACAAAACAAAGACAAAGTGAGAATTATTTTGGATACTCTGGAATATTATGAAGCACACCCTGAGAAGCAAATGGCTTTGATGTTTCTAGATGCACAAAAAGCCTTTGACAATGTGTGTTGGCAATTTATTTTACTGCAATTGTTTGGTAAAAAATTTATCCAAGCCATTGAAACAATATGCCATGAACAAACTGCAAAGGTGATGGTGAATGGAGAATTAACAGAATCTATAGATATAAGAAAAGGGACAAGGAAAGACTGTCCATTGTCACCTCTGCTGTTGGTGTTAACATTGGAAGTGTTGAACAGGAATATTTGAGAAGAAAGAGAAATAAAAGGAATGAAAATTAAAAAGAAGGAATATAAATTGCAAGCTTTTGCAGACAACCTGGTATTTATATTAGAAAGACCCATTGGAAACAGCACCCAAATTAATAGAAAAAAAATAGAAGAATATGGAAAAGTAGCAGGTTTGAGAATAAAGACAAAACAAAGATATTAACAAAGAATGTTAGCAGGATGAAAGAAAGAGTTGGAAGAAATTTTAAAAATACAGGTCACAAACAAGGTTAAATATTTAGGGATACATATTAGACCAAGATGTAGTACACTGAAGGAAGATAACTATGTTAAACTCAAACAGCAGATTGCGACAGATTTGATAAAATGGGAAAAACTGCAACTATCATTGATTGGGAGAATATCTACAATTAAGATGAATATTTTGCCCAGAGTTTTATATTTATTCCAGACAATTCCTTTTCAGCTAGGGAAAAAGTTTTTTTGAAGATTTAAATAGAATTGTGTTGAAATATATTTGGCAGAGTAAAAAAGCAAGAATGAAATTAAAACTGTTACAAGATGCAAGAATAAGAGGAAGGTTTGCCTTGCCCAATTGGGAACTATATTATCAAGCATCAAGTTTGATGTGGGTAAAGGAATGGATAACACTAAGGAACAGTAGATTACTGACTTTAGAAGGCCATGACTTGCTGTTGGGATGGCATGCCTTTCTCTGGTATAAGGGAACTAAAACCCAGGGGTATTTTAGAAGACATTATATTCAAGAGGCATTGTTTTTGAACTGAGAGAAGATAAAAAGACAATATTACTTAAAAATTCCAGCATGGATATCAACTATTGAAGCTTTTTCTTATCCAATAATATATTAAAAGGAACAAACAATTAGATATGGTGAGATATTGAATGAAAAGGGTGAACTTAAATCTATGCAAGTGTTGGAAGAACAAGGTGTAAAAATGAATTGGTTTTCATATTTGCAAATACAATCTAGGTTTGATAAAGACTCTAAAGCAGAAGGTATTTATGATAAGTTGACTGATTTAGATAAAATTTTGATGGGTACTGATGAAAAGGTAATTTAAAAACTTTATGGACATCTACTAGAATTTAAATTGGAGGAGGAACAAGTTAAAGAAACGATGATTGCTTGGGGGAAAATTTTGGATATGGGATTGATTTAGAAAAATGGCAATAATTGTCATCTCAAAATTATAAAATGACAATATCAACTGCATATAAAGAAAATTTGCATAAGATGTTTTACAGGTGGCACCTACCCCCGATGAGACTTGAGAAAATGTTTAAGAATACATCGGATAAATGCTGGGAATGTCATCAGATACCTGGTTCATATTACCGTATGTGTGGACATGTTCAGACACAAAGAAATATTGGACTAAAATACACACATGGTTGGAAAAAATGATAAAACAACATATAGACTTTAAACCAGAGATCTTTTTATTGGGAGTTATACCAGACATACACAATAAAGAATTGAAATATTTGATTGTAAATGTTTTAACAGTGGCTAGAATTGTATTTGCGAAGAATTGGAAAAATGACAAAATACCTATGCAGGAGGAAGTTATTAAAAAAAAATTATGGACTGTGCTGAAATGAGTAAACTGACATTTGAAATTAGAGAACAAGAAGACAAGCAATTTAATATGATATGGGATTTGTTTTATCAATGGTTGGATAAAAAGACATGGTAAGATAACAGAATAGATAATTTTGTTATAGAAGTTTAATAGACTGATACAAAATATAAGGTAGACATACATAACCATTGGATGACAGCATAATATAATATTGATGGAATAAATAGCAGGATAATTAATAATTGATAAATAGATAAGCATATGTTAGTTTGACAATGTGAGATTGATATAAATTGTGAACAATGATTATGAAAGGATCGCACAAAAGATTCTAAA